CCCCCCCCCCCCCCCCCCCGGTTCGCCCCACGCGCGTCAGCACCGGGACCCCCCGTGGGGGGCAAGGGGGGAGAAACCGGGGGGGGCGGTCCCGGGGGCGTGGCCGCGGCGCGAGGGGCGGGGCGGGCATGGGGACACCCCCGAGCGCGGGGACACCCCGAGCCTGGGGACACCCCCGAGCCGGGGGACACCCCTGAGCCTCGGGACACCCCGCACGTGGGGAGGGGGCGCGGGGGGGTCCCGGCGCTGTCCCCGCGGTCCGGGAAGCGCCGGGGGGGGAGTTTGGGGGGGGGATAAAGGGGGCGGGGGGGCCCCGCTGGCGTCAGCGGAAACCCCGGGCGGCCGCAGGGCCCCCCCGGCCCCCCCCGGCCCCGCCGCGCTGCGTCAGCACCGGGACCCCCCCGGACCCCCCTCCCGCCCCCAAGTCCCAGGAACCCCCCCTGGAAAAGGAGGGCCTCCCCCCCCGCGCTGTCCTGCGGTCCCCCCCAGGAGCTCCGGGGCGGCTTTCGGGGCCGGGGGGGCACATTCGGTGGCCACCGCGGTCGCCCCGGGTGGCCCCGGGCGGGGGGGGCCGGGCCGGGCCGTGCGTCAGGCGGTGACGCGGGGCAGGATGTGGGGGGCGGGGGGGACACGGGGGGGACACGGGGGGGGACTCGGGGGGTGGCAGCGTCCCCAGCATCGCTCGGGAGGGCGGGGGGACCCGGGGGGCAGCGGCGGTGTGGGGTGACACGGCTGAGGGGGGTGGCACCGGCGCTGTCGCCGTCGCCGTCGTGTCCTGACGGGGGTGCACAAGGTGCCACCGTCCCTGTCACCACCGCGTCCCGCCACACGCGGACAAGGCGGCGCTGTCACCGCAATGTCGCCGACATTGGTTTCGGGGCTTCCACAGGGAATTTGGGGGGTTCTCGGTGGGGTTTGGGACGGCTTGGGATCCAGAGGGGACTTGGGGAGAATTCTGCGGGTCCCGAGGGGATGTTTGGCGCCCGCTTTGGGGTTCTGGGGGAGTTTTAGGGCCGGTTTGGGTTTTTCTGGGGGGGTTGAAGTTAATTTTGGGACTCACGGAGAGGGGTTTAGGGACGGTTTTGGGGTTATGGGGAGTTTTGGGGGTTTTGGGGGCAGTTTGGGGATTTAGGGGGGGATTTCGGGCTATTTTGCTGCTCCAGGGGATGGTTTGGAGCTTCTGGGGGAGTTTTAGCGACGACTTGGGGTGGTTTGGGGGGGGTTGAGGTGGATTTTGGGGCGCCAGGGCTCGTTTTGGGGCCGATTTTGGGGTTTGGGGGGCTTTAGGACCGTGGGGGAGCAGCTGGGGAGGGGGCGTGGCTAAGATTGGGGGCGTGGCCATGGAGGAGGCGTGGCCCGAGGATTTAAGGCGCGGTTTATTTAGATCTGCCTCTGGGGCGTGGCCAAACAGACGCGCGCTCTGATTGGCTGATTCTCTTCCCTCCGAAAACCTTCCCGCCCCGTTCCTCTTCCCATTCCGTTGCTATGATTGGCTTTCCCCTGGCGAGGCGGGAAAATCTCGGCCAATCAGTGTGCCGGGTTGGGCAGAGGGGGCGGGGCTCTGCTCTGAGAGAGTTGGATTTGGGGGGGCGTTCGTGAGGGGCCGCGGTCACCCCGAGGGGACACGGTGGGGTCTGGGGTCTCTGGGGGGTTCAGGGGTCACCCCGAGGGGACACGGTGGGGTCTGGGGTCTCTGGGGGGTTCAGGGGTCACCCCGAGGGGACATGGTTGGGTCTGGGGTCTCTTTGGAGAGTCTGGGGTCATCCTTGAGGGGACATGGTGGGCTCTGGGGTCTCTGGGGGGTTCCGGGGCCACCCTGAGGGATCTGTGAGAGGTCTGGGGTCTCTTTGGAGAGTCTGGGGTCATCCTGAGGGGACATGGTGGGCTCTGGGGTCTCTTTGGGGGTTCAGGAGGCACTCTGAGGGGAGATGAAAAGGTCTGGGGTCTCTTTGGGGGACTGGGGAGGGGTCTGGAGTCATCCTGAGGGGTCTAGGGTCACCCCGGAGGGGTCTGGGGTCACCCCGAGTGGCCATGAAGGGCTCTGGGGTCTCTGTTGTGGCCCTGGGATCCCTTTGGGGGGTTCTGAGCACCCCTTGGGTGGGTCTGGGGTCGCCTTTGGGGGGACCCCAGCGCCCCCCACCCTCCATCCTGTCCCCCCTCGCCCCCTCCCGGGCCCAGGTGAGTGCCGGGGGTCCCAGGCCCCCCAGTTTCGAAGGGGAGGGAGGGGCTCCCCTTCCCCTCCCCCCCGATCCCGGTGACTCCAGCCCGTCCCCTCCCCCCGCCCTTCCCGGCCCCCCCACCCCGATTTCCTGGCCCGGCTCGGCCCTTCCTGCCCCCCCGGGAAACCGGGAATTCTGCGGGAATTCGGGAATTCGGCACTGCAGAGGCCGCGGGGAGCCGGGACCGGGGTAAGGGGCGGCTTTTTGGGGGGCCTGGGGGGTGTTTGAGGGGTCCTGGGGAGGGAAAGGGGGGCTGGGGGGGGGGAAAAAGGGTGGGAAAAGAAGGGAAAAGGGTGGGAAGAGGGGGGTTTTGGTGGAAAAAGGAGGGTTGGAGGAGCCCGGGTGGAGTTTGAGGGATCCTGGGCTTTAAAAAGGGGGTTTGGGGGGAAAAAGGGGTCAGAAAGGGGGACTTTGGGTGGAGTTTGAGGAGTCCTGGAGGGAAAAAATAGTGGGAAAAGAGGTTACTGTGGGGGTAAAAGCTGGGATTTGTTGGTTTGAGGGGTGTTGTTGTAATGTGGGGTCTCAAGAGGCTACCCCAAAATCCCCTTTTTTCGCCCCATTTCCCAGACGATGCTTCCCGAGGAGCGCAAGGAGGGCTCGCCCCGTTTTGGGAAGCTCCATTTCCCCGTGGGGCTCTGGATCAACTCCCCCAAAAAACGCCTGGCCAAGATGAGCCGCCGCTGGCCCAGTGCCGGCTCTGTCCGGTGTGACCCCAAAACTCAATCCCCCCCAAATCCTCCCTCGGAACCCCAAATCCCCTCCCCAGATCCACCTCTTAGGGATTTTTCCTTCTCTTTTCCCCCTTTTTTCCTCCGATTCCCCCCCAACCCTCCCCCCGCCCACATCTACCTCTTTGGGGTCCCCCCCTGCTTTTTTTTCCCTCCTTAATCCCATTTTCCCCCCATTTTTGCCCCTAAATCCTATTTTCCCGCCCCAGGTCCACCTCCTCGGACACCCCCAGCCGCGCCAGCGACCCCTCGGACCCTCGCCCCGCTGCGGCCGCGCCCCCTCCCAAACCCAAACCCCCCCGGCACAAGCGGCTGTCGCATCTCTTCCACCGCGCCAGCGCCACCAGCGCCACCAGCGCCACCAGCGCCACCAGCGCCAGCAGCGCGGCGCCCCAGGGCGGCCGCTGGGCCAGCGAGAAGAAGCTGGCCGAGCTGCACGACCCCTCGGGGGACCTTCTGGGGTCCGGGGGCGGCGCG